CTGAGACCACAGCGTCCTGCCCTTGTCTATGCCGCGCCCACCTTGGGCACTGTTTGCACCCTCTCTGTCTGGTTAATACTTGTGTGCTCTTCAAGACTCAGCTCATGTATACTTTCCTTCAAAATCTATCCTCGTCTCCCTTCCCTCCAAACTTGCATTCCATGCACCCCGCGACCTGAACACCTACCCTGTTCGACTGATGCTCTGTCCAGGGGCCCATCTTCCCCACCCCTCGAGACTAGAACCTTCTTGAAGACAGGGACAATATCTCACTACTTTGTGTCCTCAGTGCCCTGCACAGTGTATATGTTGCATGTCAGTGTTCAAAAACACCTTTTATCTGAACACAAGCTCAATTTGAAGCACTAAAGGAAAAGGAAGAAACATCATTGTTGGCTTCTGGAGCTATCATGCTAGCCACAGCAATCAGAGAAAGGCTAATTTAGTTTAGCCTGGGAATGAAATACTGATTGTAGATCAGAAAAACCCTGGAGAGACGATATGATTACAATCAGTGGATTTTTGTAGAAAGAGGAATTTTATCTTGTTAGGGAATGCTGGAATCAGAGCTTCAGATTCTGAATCAAGTATAATTGAAGTTATTATAGACTCTACTGTTCTAATGAGACAATTCTTGCTGCTGACTCATAAAAGGTCCAGTGGCCAAGCCGCTGACAGTGCACAGAGAACACGGTCAAGGGCGAAGGAAGGTCCCCGCGAGGGCTTCTGGAATCGAAGAGAAGGACGGGCTGCGACAGGGGCACTGCTGAAGCAGCCGGTCACAGGGGCAGCCACACCTTCCTGTTCCTCAAAGCTCAGCCCAGCCCCCGATCCCTGTGTGGGCCTGAGGCTGTGCTTTGGAAAGTCATCTCAAGGAATGATTTGTTAGTTCCCGGCCAGACTTTGTACTGTTCACCAAGGAAACACCCATGGTTACGGGGATTACTCAGCAACCCCAAACAGCTGGAAGTTATTCCTCGATCAGAGACACACAGGACTGGCAGAAGATGGCAAAAATGGGACCAAGTCAAAACCTTCTCATTTTAGTTAAAATCTCAAGATTCATACTGCAGACGAGGCCCCGTCGGCCCTGACCAGCAGCTGTGTGTTCGACGAGCTCTCTCTCTGTAAATGGAGGGCTGTATGCCCTGCCTCAGAAGAACCGCTGTGGGTTAAAAATAAACACCCTCGAAAATGCTGGGTAATGATGCAAAATGTCTTATGAGTAAACATAAGAATTACACTTTTTACAGAACTGCAGAGTTGGAAGAAGGTAACAGAGACCTAGCAGAGGAAAGGGACCTGAGCTTTGGGCTCAGACACTTGCTTCACTAGCCACATCTTTCCGATCTTCAACCCCCTCATTATAAAGTGGGAACAAAGTATCTACATTTTGTAACACTGTGAGAATCGAGATAACTATTTATTTCAGTTTCCTAATCTATCAAATGTAGAAAACAACCCTGACCGGGTGTTTAAGGATTAACTAGCACAATGAATGTCAAGTGCATGACTGGTGCCTGGCCTGAAGGTCACGGCGGAGCCAGCTCCGTAGAGAACGCTACAGCTGGGCACTGTTCAAAACGGTTTACGTGTATCGTCTGAGCTCACCTTCCTCACCCCGTTCTGTCATTCCCAGTTCACGGAGCCCCGGCTGTCTGGCTCCTGAGCGACCCTGACGCTGATGGAGGAGGGCTTGATGGTGATGCTCTGTGTGAGGCCTGGCACCTGGTAACAGCTCGATACATGCTTAGTGTTATTCAAATGCTGGTTTATTTGTAAAGATTTCTAGAGACAGAAGTTCTGTCTCCCTTCTAGGTACTCTTTCAAGAATTAAATCACTTTTATTCCCTTTCTATATCTTAAAACGTTTGCTGCCCTGGTCGGTTTTCTCAGTGGTTAGAGCGTCGGCCTGTGGTCCAGAGAGACCTGGGTTCGGTTCCCGCTAAGGGCACGTACCTCGGTTGCAGTCTGTCCCTGGCCCTGGCTGTTCGTGCGGGTGGCAGCCACTCGATGTGTCCCTTTCACGTCGATGTTTCTCTCTCTCACTCCCACTCTATCTGAACAAAAAATGGAAAAATGTCCTCGGGTGAGGATAAAAAAAAAAAAGTTTGCTGTTATTGAAGCCTATATTTTCTTTTTCAGATTTCTCGAAAAGAAGGGAATAAAAACCTTCCTGAAATAGGCACCATGCTATAGAATATTTAAGAATATTCAGAAAGTTATTAACCCCAATCTCTTCATATATTTTTATTGGTGCCAATTTCTTGTTTGCCATCCATTTAATCGTGTTGGTTGCTTTTCCTTGAGTCTGTCCCAGTTTTCTTTCCGCTCTCTGTTTGAAGCTGAAAGTGGACCTGGACACTGTTTCTGACACTGGTCTTGTCCTGTGGTTTAGCAGAAGTGCCCTTCGGGAGTGCCAACTCGCCCCCAACCCAGGCTTCACGTGTTCTCCTGTAGGAAGTCACTGGTGGGTCTGACGTTTCCTCCTTCAGCTGATCTTGCAAATATAATCATCTATTTAAAAGGGTGGATCTGAGAATTAAATGTGAAGATGTCTGTAAAAGGAACTATAGCATGGTGCCCAATAAATGCCAATTGAGACATACACTAATACCAGATAAGGATTCTGATTCCTGCCATTAAAAATGTATTCTTGTATCGCCCTGGCCGGTTTGGCTCAGTGGTTGGAACATTGACCTGTAGTTTGGAGAGACCCAGGTTCGGTTCCCGCTAGTGGCATGTACCTCGGTTGCAGTTTGTCCCTGGTTGGGTCATGAGGGTGGCAACCATTCAGTGTGTTCCTTTCATGTCGATGTTTCTCTCTCTCTCTCTCTCTCTCTCTCTCTCTCTCTCTCTCTCCCCCTCCCACTCTATCTGAACAACAACAAATATATATATGTGTGTATATATATATATATATATATATATATATATATATATATATGTATTCTTGTACCCCTTTCTAATGCTGTGAACCCTCTAATGGCCCGGCCCGGCTGTCCACAGGGAAAAGCCCAGTGTTGTCTGCATGTTCTTACAGCAACCGGGGCTGTTCAGGGTCCGGGCCCTCTCACTCCACCAGCCTTCTCCCTGCCATTAACTCCCACCATACAGGCTCCCCTTAATCACCCTGGACAGCCTGCACCTGTACGCGCTGTGTCCTCTGTCTGGTACGCGCTGTGTCCTCTGTCTGGTACGCGCTGTGTCCTCTGTCTGGTACACACTGTGTCCTCTGTCTGGTACGCGCTGTGTCCTCTGTCTGGTATGCGCTGTGTTTTCTGTCTGGTACGCGCTGTGTCCTCTGTCTGGTATGCGCTGTGTTTTCTGTCTGGTACGCGCTGTGTCCTCTGTCTGGTACGCGCTGTGTCCTCTGTCTGGAATTTCCTGACTCCTCAAGCATTGGGAAATTCCTCAGCATCCTTCAGGAGTGAACTGAAGCATGCCATTCTCCACGAAGGCCTTCCTCACCCTCCAGCACTGTGCGCATTCTTCTCCACAGAACTCAGGGAAATGTTTGCTTATTCATCTCTCTTAAGTTCCTTCTCTGAGGGCAGGGCTTACATTTTCTTTCTTTCTTTTTAAATTGTTGTCATTTTCTTTTTCTATCCCTAATGCCTTGTGTGCATGGAGAGCTTCAGAAAGAAATGAATGACTGAACCACACTCATTCCTCAGTCTCAGAACAAGCCCGTCTCCCACCCTCACCGCCTGAACCACTCATCTGGGCTCTTACTCACCCACCATCTTGCCCTGGAGCCGAGGGCCCACCTAGCAGGTGCCCTCAGCACCCACAGCAGTGGCACATGCTGAGTGAGTGATGACAGAAGAAAATTCAGCCATTCGATTCCACACATAGTTAATGTTGTTTACACAGTTTATACACAACCTTGTGCTGTTTTATCCTAAAGAACTGTATATGGCCTTTTAAAAAAGAGCAAGTAACTTCATTCTTACAGTTCCCAGATTCTGAAATTAGGAGTTTAGTTAGTTATCATCACAAAGATCTTTCCCCTAGGAAATGACAGACCTTTTCCTAATCTCCTGATGCAGTTTAGATCTTTTAACAAATGAAGCTTTCCCAGGGTTTTGGATTAAGATGGTGCATTATACTGCATCACAGAACTTCTTACCCCCAATACTTAGCAAATTTTTAAAAAGCTACCCCCCACCAAAGAACAATGACAAACAAGGTCCGAGAGGAAAAGGGTATAATGGAAAGTAATCGACCTCAAACACTCCACAGAAGGGACATGGGAGGCTCCAGAGTGAGGGGAGAAGCATGGGCTGGCTCCTAACCCTGCCTTCTCCCCCTGAAATGAGGTCTCTCTCTTGCTCTTAATCTAAGTAATATTAAGTAAAATAATCTTACTTAACTTATGACTTTAGAGAACATTTAGCCTTTCCACAGTTATCTGTGCAAACTGGTCGGACACCATTTCAAACATAAAATCTCCAAATAACAAGTCTTTGCTTAGATAATATTGAAGCATCTTAATTGACCTTTTTTAGGGGAAATAGCAATATTCAGTACTTCTGGGACAACCAGTCTGTAAACTGCAAAAAGACAGGCAACATGAGCTAGGGGAGGGCGGGAGGAGGAGAAGCAGGAGGCACAGAGAATGTACAGCCTGGATGACCCAAATGCTCCTGTGTCTCAGGTCAATGACAGTAAAGTGATATCTAGGGAGAGAGTTCTATTTGTGAATTCCTAGCAGAGGCGAGATGCTCACAGACCCTATATGTGGGTATCGGGATGTAGGCTGTCTTCTGGGTTGCTGGTCAGTTACTGCTTCCTGGACAGAGCGAAAGGTGAGGTCAAACCTTTTTCCTTGGAGAACTCAACTAAGAAAGCCATGGAGTGACACGCAGTTTTATGCAAACATTTTGGCATAATTTTTCCTGACTTGTTGATTAGGGTTCGGATAACTTTCTCCAACAGTTTTGGGATCAGTTCAGCTTTAGGCCCAGATTATTTTCTGGGCCTAAATGGAGGGTTACCTGTAAATTATCCAGGATGATTCGGAGGGAGTGCACCTGCCTTCGGACGGCCCCTGAAAACCTCTCGTAAGTTGCAGCATCATATTCACTCATCTGGATCTCCTTCAGCCTGAAATCGAAGAGGGTGAGAGACAGCAGCTGAACGCATGTACATGGGTCCTTCAGCTCCACTCCGCTCTGCTCGAGCCGTAGCAAGCTCCCTGGTAACCCGGGTGGCCTTTGAGGAGAAAGGCAAGTGGTGGTGTCTCCAGCTGGGAGCTTAAAGGAGGGGACTGTCCAGTGGCATCCTGGTAAATGCTCAACAAGTCGCCCCCCAGGACAACAAAAATTCCTGATTTGTAGTATTTGCTCATTTCTGTGCTGTAAGTGCCAACGGTGAGTTCGCTAACACTGAGTGAGAAAGACGTGCACTGTTGGCTCTGGTTCCGCTGCTAGTCCTGCAGACGTGCCCCCTGCTGCCAGCTGCCAGTTCACGCGGAGGCTCCTCGCTGCTTTTTAAGACCAAGGATGTATACTTGGTTGACTAAGATAATAGTTTAGGCCCAAAGAATGTAATTTAATGTGTTGCTATGGAAAATACAAGAGTTTTCTGAAACTGCTGACTGTACTTGTGATAGGATAATCGTATTTTAATACTGTGGCTTTGAAATTCCTTCCTCCCAGTACAGTGCTCCTTTGTACTGTTTTCATCATTTGCTTCTGCTGTGGCCCCGCCATGCACCTGGGGTTCCCTGAACACACCACCTGCCTGTGCCCGCAGCCCCCACAGGCTTCTCTCTCACATGGGGTACCCGTTCCCTCCTCTCTGCCCACTAACTCCTGCAGACTCTTCAAGACTCAGATCAGTGATCACCTCCTCTAGGAACCTGTCCTGACCCCCCGGCCTGTCCCTGCTAGTGCTTCACACTCGTCTCTATCAGAGCACTTCCTTCCTGTCCTGGGCCTTTCTCGTTTTTCTGCGTACGGTGCCTAGCATGATACCTCGTGTATAACAGATGTCCAAAATAAATTGAAATGAAGGACCAAAATAAAAATAAGACTCAGAAACATTAAAAATATAGCGTCTTAAACTAATCACACATAGAAAGTTCATTCACCGAGGGAACCTGTCTCAGATTTTACAGTGTCATTTTCATAATACACTAATTTGATTACACATTTCTATAAATTTCTATAAATGTAAAGGGTGTTGATACTAGGGCACAACACGGTGTTCTAAACTGCTGCACGTGTATGCATGTGTGTGTGCATATGTGCAAAGTTAGAGGGATGGGTCCCAGGTGTGTAGCTGAAACTCGTATGTAAAGTATATGCTTCTCACCTTGGTTGCAGTGAGAATGAATGGTCTCCATTCCTTCCTGTCATCACAGGACAGAGTACTTAATGTGAGGTCTAGACCACTGTGGGGCCGATCTGCAACCCCTGCCTTACCACCCAGCTGGGTTAGTTACTGCCAACCCGGCTTCAAGTCCCAGCTCGAAGGCCACAACCTATGGAGTCTTGCTTGACCTCTCCAGTGAACCGGTCATGCCCTTCCATGAGTCTCCTGCAGATATCTACTGTGGAACCTATACACTTTATGCTTTTAATAGCTATGTTTGTCTCTATCTATCATAGTGTTTTCTTTATTTAAAATCCCCCCCCTTATTGATTTCAGAGAGAGAGGAATGGAGCAGGAGAGAGATGGAAACATTGATGAGAGAGAACATGGATTGGCCGTCTCCTGCATGCCCCCCACTGGGGATCGGGCCCACAACCTGGGCATGTGCCCTGACTAGGAATCGAACTGGCAACCTCTTGGTGCATGGGTCGATGCTCAACCACTGAGCCACACCAGCCGGGCTATCAAAGTGTTTTCAAATTTTATTTTCTATAATAAGAAATATACTTACATTGAGATACAGTATACACAAATGTGTGTGTGTGTGTTATACACTGAACCAAAAATTTAATGAAAAACATGTTTACTACATGTGATACACTCTGATATTCTCTTCTGTTCCTCTGGGAGAAGAAATACGTCTTGTTTTTCTCCGAATCCGCAGTCCCCAGCACAATGCCTGGCGCACAGTGGCACTCAACACATGCTGTTTCACAACACTTTGAGAACACTGACTATCAACCTGAAAGTTAAATAACATCTGAATGGTGGTTGCCTGAGGTGATATGCCAAGGTGCCCTTCTAAATTTACCCTCTGTTCTGAAGAACAAAAATGAATATGTGTATAGGACTTGACCTTTTAACAATACTTCTTATGTTTAGTTTTGGTAATCTCTTAAACCTCTCTCTAAATTTTCATTAGATTAATTTACATCTCAAGTGTTAAGGCTACAGAAGCTGGGCACAGTGAATATTACAGGTTATGCTAACGACCCCTTCATACTAGGAGGCCAATATGTTCTTTTTTCCCAAAGAAGAAAGATTAGGAAAAAAACTGTAGACATAGCTTGTCCTCAGCAGGGGGAAGCACAGAGAGACCGGAATCAGCTACAGGTACAGGCTACCTGCGGCACAATCACACTGCACCGACAACACCCTGCACGCCGTTTTGGCTACGAAGAAACCGGCAGTGACATTCCAGGCTGTGTCAGCTTTCAGAAGGAGCACCTACAAGGTGTTCAAAGTGATAACAAATTCTGAAAAATGAAGACTAGGCAGGGAACGGGGACAGGAAATAGGTAATTCTAGCCTCTGGATCAGACAAGCTTCCCAGAGCTAATGCTCTCAAGCCCACAAAACGAGCTGAGAATGTGTCTTTCTGCTGCTTCAACGCTGAGCAAACTGCAGGGCACAGCTGCTCACATCCTAGCAATCTGTGTGGACCAACTGCACTTTGTTGGCACAGTATATTCTTAAAGGGTATATTTATTGTTATGTAAGAGTCTGGGAATTTAAATTTTCACTTCACTTTTTTTGTGTAGGTCAGATTTAAACACTATAATTTTGGATCAATTATGAGGAAAACAAACATAAGCTGAGATCCACTGTGTGAGGCTGATTAGTTCTGCAAATGGTAGTTGGTACACTTTCCACAGCTGGTGCCCACCTTATGTGCTTTTTGAAGCATGTAAAAGTACCTTATCATCTAGTTCATTCATATTTTGCTGGTTAATGTTTCTGTCCCGCTTCATGCATGTCTTATGCTTCTCTACCTTTGTTACCCTTCCTGAGTTAATTAATTTTTTTTTCAAATCTTTATTGATGGATGTAAAATGTATTACAGATGTTCCACATTTTTCCCCCATTGACCCCCTCCTCTCCCCTCCCGCCCCCCTCCCGCCTTTCCCACACTATTGTCTGTGTCCATTGGTTATGCATGTAAGTTCTTTGGTTTATTTCCCCCCCCCCCCAACCCCTTTCCCTTTGAGGTTTGTCAGTCTAGCAATGAATTTGTGCTTCTTAATCCCTTCACCTTTTTCACCCATTCCCTCAACCCCCCTCCCAACTGGCAACCAACAAAATGTTCTCTGTATCTGAGAATGTTTCTGTTCTACCTGTTCATTTTGTTTGTAGATTCCATTGTTGATAGATATGTATTCATTGCCATTTTGTTTGTTCATACATTTTATCTTTTTCTTCAAAAAGACCCTTCATCATTTCATATAATAACGGTTTGGTAGTGATGAACTCCTTTAACTTTTTCTTGTCTGGGAAAGTTTTTATATGTCCATCGATTCTAAATGACAGCTTTGCAGGATAGAGTAATTTTGGTTGTAGATTCTTGGTTTTCATCACTCTGAATACTTCTTGCCACTCCCTTCTGGCCTGCAAAGTTTCTTTTGAGAAATCAGCTGACAGCCTAATGGGAACTCCCTTGTAGGTAACTAGCTGCCTTTCTCTTGCTGCTTTTAAGATTCTCTCTTTGTCTTGAACCTTTTGCATTTTGATGATGATGTGTCTTGGTGTGGGCCTCTTGGGGTTCATCTTGTTTGGGACTCTCTGTGCTTCTCGGACTTGTATGTCTGTTTCCTTCACCAAGTTAGGGAAGTTTTCTGCTATTATAGTTTCAAACAGGTTTTCGATTTCTTGTTCTCTCTCTTCTCCTTCTGGAAACCCCAAGATGCGAATGTTGGCACGCTTGAAGTTGTCCCAGAGGCTCCTTACACTATCCTCATTTTTTTGGATTCTTTTTTCTTTTTGCTGTTGTGATTGGGCATCTTTTGCTTCCTTATATTCCAAATCGATGGTTTGCTCCTTGGATCTACATACTCTATTATTGAAGCTGTGCAAATTATTCTTGATTTCAGTTAATGCCTCCTTCAATTCTAACTGTGTATCCATGATTTCTAACTGGTCCTTTTTTATGCTCTTGAGGCCCTCCCTAAGTTCACTGAGGTTCTCACTAAGTTCATTGAGCATCCTAATAAGCAGTATTGTGAACTCAGTATCTGTTAGGTTGTTTATCTCCATTTCACTTAGTTCTTTTATTAGGGTTTTGTTCTGTTCTTTCATTTGGGACCTGTTTCTTTGTCTCCTCATTTTGGCTGCCTCCCTGTGTTTGTTTCTGTGTATTACTTAATGAGAGGTATGGGGCTCTCTGAGACCAGATGCTGCTCGTTTGAAAGAATTTAGGAAAACCTGAAGCAGGATCCAAGACAGGCCAATCCTATGGTTAAGCAAGTGGCAACAGCTTGGGTGGGCCTGAAAGTTGGACGGGGCGGGGCAGGGCCTCAGGGCGTCAGCAGGGCAGGGCTACCAGTGTGAGCCAGGTTGCTGGAGTCCCAGATATGGAGACTGTCTGCCGCCCCAGGGAAGGGCTCACCAAAGGAACAAAGGCCTCTGACAGCACATTTGTCCCGGAGAAAGCCCCCTCTCCAGCCCTTGCTCCAGTGCCAAACAGCTCAGTTCTTCCCTGTGTGTCTCTGGTGCCCCTCGAGCTGCCTCCCCTCCAAGCTTAGAGGGAGAGAGTCCGATAAGTCCGTGCGCGGGCCCTTTAGGGAGCTGCCTGGGGCTCCAGCCGCCTCAGCCTCCCTGAGCCTCAGTTCCTGCTGGTTTTTCCAGCCAGAAGTGATGGGGATTCTCTTCCTGGCACTGGAACCCTGAGCGGGGCACCTGGTGTGGGACGGGGACCCCTCAGTCCTCAGGAAGGACCTTCCCAGCCCATGTATCCTCCTGATTTTTATCCGCCACACTTGGGTGTGGGACCAGCCCGTCCCCTCCGCCCCTCCTACCAGTCTCGATGTGGCTGCTGCTTTAATTCCGTAGTTGTAGGATTTCCATTCAGCTTGATTTCAGGTGGTTTTGAATGATGGTTGTTCTGTAGTTTAGTTGTAACTTTGATGTGATTGTGGGAGGACGCGATACCGTGTTTACTTACCCGCCATCTTGACCGGAAGTCTCTTAATTAATTTTTTTATTAACTGGTTTCAAACGATATTCCCAGGCTTCTTCAGCTTAACTAGCTGCAAAGAACAATTTGTGTAGCAGCAAATACTGAAAAGAGCTGCAGTGTCCAGAGAGGCTGGGCTTAAAAATATTAGCGACCTAGACACTAGCAGACCCACGAACAAGTGTGTGAAAACAGTCATAACATAAAATAGCAGCTTCCAGTAACTTCTCCAAGTTTAGCTTCTTCAGAAGTTGACTCAGTTCAGTTTGCTTCATTCTTGGAAGCCTCATCAAAATTCTGCACAGCCCGGCCAGTGTGGCTCAGTGGTTGAGTGTGGACCCATGCACCAAGAGGTCACCAGTTCGATTCCCGGTCAGGGCACATGCCCAGGTTGCGGGCCTGATGCCCAGTGGTGGGCATGCGGAAGGCGGCCAATCGATGTTCTCTCTCATCAATGTTTCTGTCTCTCTCTCCCTTCCTCTCTCTCTCTCTGTCTCTTTCTCTTTCTCTCAGATCAATAAAGAAAAAAAAAATTCTCCACAAGATGGGGAACTTCCTCCTCTTCCTCCTCCTTCTCCTCTCTGGTGGCAAGTGGTGCTTGTCCACCCAGTGTTTGGGCAGAGTCCGCACCTTGCAGGTCCGAGATGCTGCGTGCACCTCTCGGCGGCTCCGCCTCAGCACCGCTGTCAGGCTGCGGGGTTCCCACCAGAGATGCCTGGAAAGTGGGTCACTGCTGCCTGGCTGGTGAACGTGTTTGCCTCTTCAACACCGGAGATGCTGTTGACACTGAACTTCTTGAAAACTGGAGGTTTCATCATCTGCTGCAGCTGCTCTGCGACCCGCCTTCTTTCCACCAGCAGGTCCTTTCCCATCGCACTTGCGCCTGCGGTCGGGCGAGTTTCTCTTGGTTCCGGACAGTTCATTTCATCTTGTTGGAGAGGAAAAGGGGCCCGTGGGCGACTAGGGCTGGCGGTCAGGGGGCCTTGGGCAGACTGGCTGAGAATAAGCACCCTGACTTAATAAATTCTGATATACAGGAGCCGGTCTCTAGATGAAATCCAGATACAAATGAGTGCTAACTAAACACTGTGGCAGTGACGTCAAGAAGCTGTCAGTGGCATTCGGCCCTTCCAGGCCGGACGGCGGACCGCTAAGCTGATGGACAGGTCTGGCTGTCAGTCTGGTTTTAGCCAGACTCTGAATTAAGTATTAAAGGGTGACACCATTACCTGCATGCACAAGTACATTATTCATCCCACAAACAGGCATGAGTGTTTGCTGGACATCAGGTTCTGGGCATAAGTCTGAGGACATTTTATAGAGTGAAGCCCTCTGCCCTCAAGGAACTTACAATCAGTGGAGAGGCAAACAACTATTCACACAACTAATGATATACTGGGGAAGAGTGATATGAACTATGGAAAAAGGATAAAAGCATGAATGAGGACCTGACCTCATTCTGTATAGGCTTAGAGTTGCAAGGTAGCTTTAAAACTATTTGATGATAGTAAAGAATTATTACTTTTAAAAAGACATGATAGCTCTGGCCAGTTTGGCTCAGCGGTTAGAGCGTCGGCCCACGGACCAGAGAGACCCGGGTTTGGTTCCCGCTAAGGGCACATAATTTTTTTGCAGTTTGTCCCCAGCTCTGGTTGGGGTCATGTGGCTGGCAATCAGTCGATGTGTCTCTCTCACATCGATGTCTCTCTCTCTCTCTTCCCCCCTCTCTCCCTTCCACTCTATCTGAAGAAAAATGTCCTCTGGTGAGGATAAATACACACACACACAGATAAGAGAGAGACATGATAATAGTATTGTGTGTGTGTTTTTTTTTTTAGAGTCCTCATCTTTTGGAGATATACTCCTAAATATTTGTGATGAAAAGATGGGACATCTTAGATCATCTTCCAAACAACCCAGGGGTGGGCACTGAGAATGCAGCCAGATTTTTCTTCTTGAAGGTAGGGGGACAGGCCCATAGGGTTCATTATACAGAAAGTAGGTTTATAGTTGTTTGTATAGAAAATAATACAAGAATAAACTCTGTGTTTCATGTACTCACAATTATAAACCTATGTTTGCCCCACTGTGTATGTTTCTCTCTACTTTTATGTTTGAAAGGTTTCATAATAAAAAGTTAAAGAAAAATCTTTTCTTTTTTAAATCCTCACCGAGGATATTTTTCCATTTATTTTCAGACAGAGCGGAAGGGAGGGAGGAAGGGAGAAAGGAAGGAAGGGAGGGAGAGGGAGGGAGGGAGGAACATCGATGTGAGAGAGACACATCGATTGGTTGCCTACCCCAGCCCGAATGGCAACCAAGGTACATGCCCTTGACCGGAATTGAACCTGCGACTCTTTGGTCCACAGGCTGATGCTCTAACTGCTGAGCCAAACTAGCCAGGGCTAAAGAAAAATCTTTAGCAGTACTAACTTGAATTCTCATCAAATGGGATAATTTACTACGTGAAAGTAGAAAACATTTTCCTCTATGTCCTGTCTTTCTCAGCGTCTCCATGTGTTTGTAGTTCTTTCTCTCGGTTTCACGCCCTGGCCCACCTCCCGTCTCTTTCACTTGGCCTGGGAGTCCTCTGTGCAGCGTGGAGGGGAGCCCGGTTTTCTCACTCCTTCCCACGCTCTTTCCTCCACGAAATTCACAGCTGCTCCTTGACCTCTCGCCTGTGGGCCATGGTCCTGACAGAAGCAGGTCCCCTAACCCTATGATAGCGATCGGCACAGGGGTCGGATCCTGGTGCCCAAGCCCTGCCACAGGCCGTTCTGCTTCCCCGTGAACTACTCATGTGTCAGAGCATCTGTCCGTCTGTCCACTTACTCAAACGTTGTGAGGTTCTGAGCGTGCAACACAGAAACGCATCTCTGGGGAGGAGAATGACGCATATCTACTTGTTTGGCTCTTTTCCTAAATGCATATTGTTTCTATGAAATGCAGAGTAATATTTTAATTCTAACAAGACCTTTGATTATAGCATTCCTCCCACCTTTTTTTTTTTTTTTTTTTAAACTGCTTGCATTCTGAGCATAGTTATCCATCCTCATCGCCCCTCATCGCCTCTCTGAGAAGCAGGGGAGGGAAGTCACCTGTGTCCAGAAGAGCACATTCAGGTGCAGTGAGGACAGAAAACTGCTCAAGGTCACCAGGGAGGCCAGCAGAGGGCTGAGTGACACTTCTGTCTTACCCACCTGCTGAGCCACCAGGGTCCTAAGACTTGCAGGCATTCCTGAGGGTGTGGCGGAGGAACCCGAATGTTTACCCCCATTGTTCTGTTCTGTTTACTTGCAGGGTGCACAAGCACAGCATGTGATGTACTACCAGATGCTGCAGCGGGAGGAATTTCAAAAATCACATACACTTGAGCATGCTTTTTTCTGAAGTGCACCAGCTCCTCTCATTGGGCATCACAACATCCATCTGCTCACCAAGGATATTTTTCCATTTATCTTCAGACAGAGCAGAAGGGAGGGAGGAACCCCTTCACCCTAAAGGAGATACTGCGGCCCCTTTGGCACTTTACACTTTTAGATGAAGAACATATGTGGGTGTTTAGTGAAAAACGTCATGTGGCTTCTCACTCTTTTACAGGGTTCTGATCAGAGTGACCCAGAATGGTCCGGATCGTCTGAAAGCCACAGGCTCTTCAGCCCTGACTCCAAGGCCTCCACACTCGGTGCCTCCGTGTTCACCCTCACGTCCACCCCCCCAGCTGGCGCCTCCAGTCCAGACAGGACACTGTGCTCACCCTATCCTGGTGCTTCCGCTTCTCTGGTCTCCCTTCCGGGAGTGTCCTCACCCTGGCCGGGCGCAGGCCCTAACAGATCCGCCCTGACCTTGCCGCTCTGCTGTCGGAGGGCAGGGTCTCTGCACCACGTGACCTCGGCAGTAACAGGCGTGTGTGAGTGAGTGAGGGTGTGTGTGCTGTAGTCTCCATATAAAATCCCGAGGGCAGAAGGGACCATCGTGTAGAGGCATCTGAATTCCCCGTGTGGCCCAGGAACAGATGTGGATGGAGTGATTTGAACTTAAATTTGTCTTAAGAAAAATATCTTTGGTTTTACTTCCTCATGTGCTCAATTCCATCTTCTGCAGTCACCTGCAATCAATACATTTAAAAGAGCCTGAGTAATCCTGGCTGGTGTGGATCAGTGGCTGAGCGTCGACCCTGCACCAAGAGGTCGCCGGTTCGATTCCTGGTCAGGGCACAGGCCCAGGTTGTGGGCCCGATGCCCAGTGGGGAGCATGCAGGAGGCGGCCAATTGATGTTCTCTCTCATCAACGTGTCTATCTCTCTCCCTCTCCTTTCCTCTCTCTCTAAAATCAATAAAGAAAAATTAGTTTTAAAAATTAGTAAAAAAATAAAAGAGTTGAGTAGAAAGAATGGGGAGTGATGCTCACGTAGCTGTGTCCATGAGGGAGAGGGAGGCTGGGGATTTGTTTGTGGTCCAAGTTGCTGCATGAGACAGAGAGCCACAGGAAACTGCCCACTCGGAGTCCACCCCGACACCCCCCAGCGGCCAGCTGCGCCCTGAGGGCGGGGAACACTCACCTCTGCTGGAAGGCTCTCTGGCCCATCTCCCTCGCGGCTCTCTTCACCTCCTCGGGAACCGCATCTTTCTCGGCCTCAGAGACCTGGTACACGGTGTGGCCCGCATCCAGCCGGTAAGGCCCTCCTTTGCCGCCCAGGCCTGCAGTGTCTCTTCCCCCTGCGAGGGAGCCAGGGAAGCCCAGGTGGTTACTCTGATCCAGGCCACCAAACAAGTCCCGTCATGATTCAAGGCAGCCTCGTGAAACACATTCATTGTACTTAACTAATGATTAAATATCCAAATGACCTTCTTCTAGAAAGAGAGGGTGCCCTCTGTTTAGGATGCTTTCCCTTTTCTCCAGCCAGCCAGATCGTATCCAAATTCCACGAGGTGTCTGTCACCTTACGACTCCTCCTCGTGAGGATCAACACTCCTGTGTACTGTCCCCTTTAAAATCCACTCTCTCTCCTCACCAGCTACCTGATGGGTGGGGTCATAGCTGATATGTCTTTGTACCTCTGCACCTATATGAGTGGCTTGAACATCAAAAATTCTTCGTATATATTTGTCAATTAAATGAACAACACGTCCATTCTCTCACATTACCTTGGTTTTCCTTAGAATAAGGAAGAGACAGCTAAGCCACAGATACCATTTCCTCTGTTTTCAGATGATAAAAATGATGCGCAGAGAGGTTAAACGACCTGCGTACAACCTCACAGCCACGGCTCGGCCAGGGTTAGGAACTGTCGTTACACCGACGTTGAGTTCCGGCTCAGAACGACACGCAGCAGGTAAACACCGCCAGCTTCAGAGTCGTTTCCAGTATGAACCCGAGTTTACATGCTTGTGCGTGTGCACTGTGTAATGTCGTATGAACTGTTTATGATGTAAATATAAATGAAATGCACAGAAGACTAGGTAGACGATATTAGAAGAAGTAGTGAGAACTTAGGCTAACTAGAGAGGACTCACGTGAAATACATTGAAATTCAAATGATTTTAAAACACTACATTGACCTAAAGAATACATATATTGAACAAGAATTGGCCTCTGGGCTACCAGCTTATTACCCAAGCTGTAAAATGACTAAAGTACTAGTAATCTGTTTCTTTCATTCATTCACACATAACTTGGGAACTGAGAAGAGAACCCAGCATCGGAGGGGCAGCAGAATAAACACAATACACTACAGTATTACATAGCATCATATTGTAAAGGGAAGCCAGACTGTCTGAGTTTGAATCCTGGCTCCAAAGCGCTAGTGATGTGTCCTTGAGGGACGTTCTTTAACTTCTCTGCATCTCAGTTTCCTCATCTGTTAAATGGGGTTACTCATATCATTTACTTCATGGGATTGTCATGAGGCTGAAATGCTTAGAACAGTATTTGGCACAAAGTAAGAGCTATATGAGTGACTGGTCTTACTATTATAATTTGGGCATCTTCAAGTCAAATAAATGAGGTCATTTCAAAGTTTCATAAAGTGGAAAATTTGAAAGCTGTTAGGTTTTGGTTAAATTATGCTATATTTTTATTTTCTTCATCGGAGCCTTAATTGGTGTAATAAGTCAAAAGCAAGAACTCAGCATGGACTGCTTTCCTTATCAAAGTCCAGGTGGGTCATTTCCTTCTGGGAAATACCATAAGAACAGCCTATTAATTACAGTATTTTTACCCTTTGGTTCGAGCACATCTTATTTCATTCTTATTTAGATATTGGTGGTGGAAAATTCCTCCTTGGATGTGTGTAATTCCTGGCTCTCATGCATGGACAGCTTACAGGCATGGGGACCAGTTACTGGGCAATGACAATGAGCTACAGAGGAGCTTTTATGTGACCCGACTCCCTTCCCACTGGAGGTTCTCCTTAGGAATGGGTGGGTCATGAATTAGACCTTAGAACTCCTAGGCGCTGAGATGACACCCTTCTTGGAGGACAGAGCCCACAGCTGTTTGGAGGCTGGTGTGAGTGATGGTCAGCACGAGCCACACGGTCCCTCGGGAAAGTAGTGATGGTGGAGAGGGCATGGGAGAGCGTTCTTAGTAACCTCCACGTCCAAGAACCTTTCATCTGTACTAATTAAATAAAAATGCTCACTGGAGGGTCTAGACTTGGAGGCACAATCTTGAAGCTAACAGGGAATATCCTAAATCAGTTCAGAGATAAGTAGAGAACAGGCCAGGGAGGGGCTCTAATGATGAAAAAGGAATCAAATGACTTGTTGGGTTAGAGCTCAGTTCAGTATTTCGAGAATTCTGAGGGAAAAGAATGAAAGAGAGAAAAAGAACCTGGAGCAAAGGAGCCTTGAAAATGGAAAACCCCAAGGCCGGCGGAAAGCGAAAGCAGGGCTGCAGTCTAGACAGACACGCGGGGCAGGGGTTCCAGCCGAATGAAAGGCAAAGCCTTCCCTTCCGAGCAGCCGATGCTGGGAAACCTACATCTGGCCGGCTCCTTCCATAATGCGTTCCATATGGGTTCAATCTGGCTGGTTGGACACTCCTTTCCAGATCAAAGGACATTTCTAAAAATATCCTTTCTTTTGAGCTGATGCTTGATGAATCAACAGAGGAGGCAACAAGTCCACAGGCCTATTTGATAGCATATTGTCCCGCACAGAGACCCATTTCCTCCCGAGGCTGTCAAGGCCAGAGGCGCAGACCATCCTGAGGGAAGGCCACGTCCGCAGCCCTTGCCAGCTCTCCTCAGGCCCAGATAAGATCAGACAGTGCACAGTCTGGCCCGATTCCTGGCTCTGTAGCCAGGCAGATGTGTCTGCTCCGGCTGCTGGGAGGAAAGAGGAAGACAGCAGTCATGGGAACAATGCTCTGGTCACGCAGCCAAGAGGAAGGAATGGATCCCCACCATCGGTTCCAACAGCAACCAGCTCTCTTATCTCAAAATCCTGCATCCTAACGCTCCCTTCTGAGATGTGGGAGACAAACGTCATTTCTTTTCAGTCAGTTCGTAAAGAAAGAATTTACTATAGATTTCTGGCATGATCCCAAGGGAAGGAATTTAAAAGAAGGATTAACACTCTTAATGAATACATTGTTAGTGCCAGGCTGTGTGCTCAGTGCTTTGCAATCATAATCGCAATTTTAATCCTCACCGTAACCTTGTAAGGCAGTTACTATGCCCCTTCCTGATGAAGCCGCGCTGGGGGGGACCAGATGGTCTTAGAGCATAGGGTGGCAGAGTCTGAGGGACTCCAAATGGCAGGGTTTTTCCATGTCTTGATGTCATGTTGGGACACAGGGCAAGGGCACATCCCACTGCCAATGGGAGGCAGAAGAGGCTGGCTGGCCCCCGAGCCTCCTGAGGGGTGCTGCGCTGTCTGCCTGGGCTTGTGAAGTCTCAGGAAACTCAGCCCCGGGGATGCCCGTGCCACCAACCTGTTCCGCCCGCCCAGGTGTTGCCGCCCACGTGGGGCATGTTGTCAGGATCCTCCTTCCCGTGTTTGGGGGAACTCACGTCTTCACCACTGTCTCTGTTGATCGTTATCTGAAAATGAAGAATTGAGACATTATCACTATCCTATCACCAACACCAGACACTACAGGACAGAAAGAAGAATTCTTTCCCCCCAGTCCTTAAGGCGACCCGTAACCTCAGGCAAAAAATACGGTTAGTGTCTGGCAAAAAATGTCATCAGGTTTAACTTCCACTGCATTGGGAAGAAGATACATTTACTATTTTTTGTAAAAGAAAAGGAGCTGTACTGAGTTTACAGGACATGCCCTGAGCATTTACACAAGGAACAAGACCTCCCAGAAACAGGGAAAGGGGTATCCCCAGACTGCCGCTCTCCGGAGGATCAAAGGATCACTGCCCAGCTATTCCAGCTGAGTCACGGCGGATATACATTGACCTATTTAATTTTCAAAGAAATCTCATTCTCTGAGAAATGCCATTTTTTTTTTTTTTTTTTTTATCCTCACCCGAGGACATTTTTCCATTTTTTGTTTAGATAGAGCTGGAGGGAGAGAGAGGAAGAGAGAGAGAGAAACATCAACGTGAAGGGACACATCGAGTAGCTGCCACCCGCACGACCAACCAGGGCCGGGGACAAACTGCAACCGAGGTACATGCCCTTAGCGGGAACCGAACCTGGGTCTCTCTGTACCGTAGGCCAACGCTCTAACCGCTGAGCTAAACTGGCCAGGGCGAGAAATGCCATTTTATATAAAATGTATAGGAAAAAATAACCCCTAGAAAATGTATTTATTGTGTTTCATATATTCAGTGATAAATGTTGTATACACAGACACTAAAAACAGCCTATTTATTTTCTGGACCCACAGATTTTATTATGGTGGTTTTTAGTTTTCCTAATTCATCTCTGTTTTAAAATTGGATTTACTATTCAAGCAGAATAAGTGAGAGCCCGTGGCTCATTAGTCCCCAGTTTCATCCAGCACAGACTCACTGAAAGGATGGATAACTGCACAGGAATTCCAGTTCCGTGGAAGTCACTCCACAATAAAAAGAACTTGAGCCCTGGCCGGTTTGGCTCAGTGGTTGGAGCGTCAGCCTGCGGTCCAGAGAGACCCGGGTTCGGTTCCCGCTAGGGGCACGTGCCTCGGTTGCAGTTTGTCCCCGGCCCTGGTTGGTTGTGTGGGTGGCAGCCACTCAATGTGTCCCTTTCACGTCGATGTTTCTCTCTCTCTCTCTCTTCCTCTCACTCTATCTGAACAAAAAAATGGAAATATGTCCTCGGGTGAGGATTAAAAAAAAAAAAAAAGAACTTGAAGCGGTTACATTTCATGTACCCTATTAGCCTGTTCTCAAGTGTTATGATTTTTTAGGATAGACCAGGTCAAGTCTTCGTTTATTTGTTCCAATAAGACTCACAGAAAAATGTACTGGCAGGACACCATGCAGAGTGCCACGGGGCCCACACACGCCACGGAGGATGGCGCTGCCCTCAGACCACTTGCAGAGGGCAGGGGGCTGCCAAGGACCTGAAGTGCGATGCTAGAGCTGTCTCCACAGGCTGACCCGTCCACTGTTAGGACATGGACTTTTCATTCTGGATGTTAAGATTAATGAAGGCACAAAGGTAATTTAAGGTCTATGCAACTAAAATGGCTATCAAGAATGAATTCTCCCTGGCCAGTTTGACTCATCAGTTAGAGCGTCTGCCCGCAGACCGAGGGGTCTCGGGTTTGATTTCCGGTCAAGGTCATGTACCTGGGTTTCAGGTTCAACCCCTGGCCCCTGTCTCTTTCACATCGATGTTTCTCTCTCTCTCTGTCCTTCCCTCCCTTCCATTCTATCTAAAATCAATGGAAAAAATTTTTTTTAAAGAATGAATTCAACATAACTTCCATTGTCTGATATCCAGACCAGTTCATTTCAAATGTTATGACATTGTAAAGAGATTTTCATTCACTGGACCTTTCTGCCAATAACTTTGGCAGCATTAACAGAATTTTTGCCATAACTTCATACTTTAAGAACATTTACCATCCAGGGTATGACAACCAATATGAATTCCACACACATAATCGTGTTCTAAAAATGGGTAAACATAATTTTTTCCTGTTTTTTAAAATTAAACCATGCAGAAGCACTAGTGACATTCAGAGAACAAATAAACATTTAAAATGCTTTTCCCAAAACATGCCACCACTTTCCAGCTTGTCCAGAGATAATGTAAGAGACAAGCAGTAAATTAAAATGTGTACACGGACTACAAGAATTGTAGACCAGCACTAACCAACTAAATGTTCCGAGTTGATGGTAGTGTTTATACCTGTGAGATACATGGTAGCCATTAGCCCAGTGTGGCTATTGCCTATTTGAGGACCTGAATTTTAAATTTTCATTAAGTAAAATTTACATTTAAATGCCCACACATGGCTAGTGGCTATCTCAGCGGACAGCCAAGCACAAGGTCAAGCTTGACTCAGCCTTGGAGATACTGTTTGGAGATTTTTATAGCATCTTGTAGATGTTGTCCATTGGAAATGAGAAAAACAAGAAACAATCCAAAAGTGGGATACAGTTTTATTGTTGCTAATTTAAGAAATCTATCCCCTCCTCCCACCAGCAGGGCAGCAGCACCCCTCCTCCCCACCCAGGAGACCCACTAGCCCCACCACGAGAGAGCCACCAGCTCTACCCTCCCAACGTCCAGGGGCCCGCCCTGCTGAGCTTGCACTCTGCCAACCTGGTCCCACGGTGCGGAACAGTTCCAGCAGGTCAGGGCAGACTACAGGAAGAACTGAGGCGGGCAGCGGCCATTGTTCCCTCACATGCCCGCCATGGCCACCGTTCCTGTGCAGAGCCCTTCCTTCACACAACCAAACCTTGGACTGTTTGGGCCTGATGAACTCTGCTAGCCTCTAATGAACCTTGACGACTCCCTGAGACCCCGTCCCACCACAATGACCCAAGGGCACCCTGGGAATAGCAGTTGTCCCTAATGAGCCCTGAGACTGTCCATGAGGGGCCTCAGACCCAGCACTGGCTCCGGGTCTGAACCTGCATCTGTCTGGTGACCCCACTCACCCCACCTGGTGACCCCCTGAGAACCTGCCTCACACAACTCGCACAGCCAGCAGGCGGAGGTGGATCTCAGGGAGCCTCGAGGCTTCTGCTGACCTGCCCCTGGGCTCGGTGCTGGTGGAAACCAGCCTTGGTGCACAGCTCGGTCCCTCCCACACACCCAGGCCGGCAGAGGCAGCCACACACTGTGGATTGCTTTGTAGCTCCAAACAGGTAGCTCAGGGCTGGTCGCAGGCAGCACCTGACACAGGCCTGCGCTGGAGGCGCTCTCAGGTGACTCCAGAAGCAACACACCCAGTGGCGGGTTCAGACCACATCAGAGCACAGTGCAAGTAGCTCCACAAGCAGCCTGGCCAACGAAAGACGTCAGCGGGCACCAGGCCCTGTTGAGGCAAATTCTGCTTTGGAGGGTCAGCTGCCTCACAGAAACTCACACATTGTGTGTGTGTGCGGGGGGGGGGGGGGGGGGGATCCTAATTGCCAGCTGGAGAGGCAACCCCACCACAAACGGACAAACAGCAATCAAGACTCCAGTGTAACAGGAGGGTTCACATAACCCACACAAGGGACATTCCTGGAAGACCTCAATGTTTCTCTCTCTCTCTCTCAAAAACAAAACAAACAAAACAAAACAAAAAAAAAAACAAATATATCCTCTGGTGAGGATTAACAAAAAAAAAAATCAGTTATCTCCTTTAGATATTTCACACAATCCAGTAATCCTGCTGTAAGAAGATATCTTTTAAGAACCATTATTAACAAATGATGGCACAAGGTAAAAGAAAAGCCCCTCAAATTGCCCCACTTTAGCTGCCTCCAAAACCATGCTCTTGAAGTCGCAAAGCACCTATAATGGGCCAAAAGGGAGGCAGCACACGGGCTGTGAAATGTCTGGGCCGGAAGGAACGGGCCTGTCTCTGTCACCTGCGTGTCTTGCCAGGCCACCTGCTGGGAAATGGAGCTGCGCACACGGCCAACAAGGCAGGCCCACGCCAGCCCCACGTGGGCGTCTAGAGAAGTTTCAGAACTGACAAATTCCTGACCAGAGCAGTCCGCCCGCACGGATTATTCCAGAGAAACACATGCCATCAAATCCAGAGATTCTCACAGGAATGTGTTTCTCCAGGTGGGAGGAGCAGCCCAGGGGCCTCGGAGCCATTTCAGGGCATCTCTTCTATGAAGTGACTGATTCACGAAAGACGCAGGCAGGAAGTCCAGGACAGCCCGGCCAGGGCAGACACTCAACCAGACACCAGGGCAGGCCTGTCCCTTGAGAGAGCTTACTTCCCGGGGCAGATGTGTGCTAAGGAACCACAGGTCAGAGAGCTGATGGGCCGCCGGACGCTCTGAAGTATGGGTTGAGGACCGGGAATGCCTTCCTCTGAGGGCTGTTTCACCCAGAAAGAGCTCCAGTAAGTCATTCTAATTACTGAAACAGACACCACTGTATTTATGCACTTAAATGGATCAACACTTTCCCAAACCACAAAATATTGGGAAGTCCACATTCTTCTGATGCAAAATGATCAGCACGCGCTGAGACTAGAAGTGTTTCTCACAGCTGATACAATTAGGTAATTATGCCACAGTTCTAAGAACTGTTATCCTCTTTCATATGATTAAAAATGGAGAAAACAGGAATCTTGTAAATTATAACTCATAAAAAGGTTCCAGAGGAAAGCAACCGGAGCTCGAGCAGGGAAGGGGCATGACTCACTAAAGCCCTGTCATTCTGGGCAAGGCCCATACATATGTTTTTATCCTCACCGGAGGACATTCTTGCATTATCTTCAGACAGAGTGGGAGGAAGAGAGGAAGGAAGAGGAAGAGAGAAACATCGATGTAAGAGAGACACATTGAGTGGCTGCCGCCCATACGACCCCAGCCAGGGCAGGGACAAACTGCAACCAAGGTACATGCCCTTGTGGGAACCAAACCCGGGACTCTCTGGTCCGCGGGCCGATGCTCTAACCGCTGAGCCAAACCGGCCA